TTAAAATAAAATTTAATGTAAAGTGTAAAAATACAAAGTGCATTTTTGTTTATATCATTTTATTTGTTTTATTCATTTATGATATTATAATGAAATTTAATGAATTTTAATCATATTAATAAAAATGAGTTATAACACATAATTAATAAAAAGTGTTAATGTATATATGGTATTCCTAGATATATTAGGTATTAATTTCTTAGATATATTTGGGAATAGCCATAGTAGGTTTTTTGTAAGATACTTTTTCTCATAGTTAGGTTTCTAATAGAATATTCTTTCTTAGCCAATATATATAGACTTTCTATTGTATAGGAAAAATTCATTGAATACAATACATATTATTTCATCTCTCTACTATTGTAACATGGTATCAGAGCTATAGGTTAAGCTTTTGGTGTTCTTTGCCTTAGCGGCAGGCGGCAACCTTGTCTTGGCCGCCCGCCGGACCTCAATCCATTTCGCTGCCATATTTTTCTTTCAGTATCGCTTTGTGGTGACCTCTTCCTTTGTCCGCTTGTTTATTCCTACCCCAAATATCTCTATCATATTTTTTTTTTTACTCGCAATCCTTTTGTGTGTGTGTGTGTGTGTTTTTGCTTCACTCTGTCTTTCCCTCTACTTCAACTTCAAATAGGTTTCTATCTTCAAATCTAGTTGAGTTTGAGGGGGGTATTATACCTATATCATATATATCATAGTGAACATAGTTATACAATATGCAAACCACCCAAGTCGCCTCTTTAGTGCACTTTCTAAGCAGTCTCTTTGGCGCAATCCCTATAAAGCCGCCTCCTTTGGCGCACTCTCTAAGCCACTCCATTGGCGCATTACCTAAGCCACCTCTTTGGCGCACTCTCTAAGTCGCCCCATTGGCACATTACCTAAGCCGCTTCCTGTGGCGCACTCTCTAAGCTGCCTCATTGGTGCACTACCTAAGCCGCTCCTTATGGCGCATAACCTCTATTGCCATCATCCATGCGGTGTATCATCTAAGCTGCTCCTTGGTGCACTTTCTCATAAGCCACCCCCTGGCGCACAAAGTCATCTGTTGCCATCATTGTTCAGAACCACATAATAAGTTATATGTGTGTCACGTTTGCTGGTTCAATATCTAGTCTCTACAACAGTTCGGCATGACCTCGTAAACTATTCTGACATTGATTCCAGTTAAATTCTACAACGGTCCGGTATGACCTTAAACTGTTCCGACATTAGTTTCGGTCAGTTTCTACAACGGTCCGGCATGACCTTAAACTCTCTCGGCATTAGTTTCAGTTAGTTCCTACAACGGTCTAACACGACCATAAACTGTCTCCCGGTATTAGCTCTGGTCTTTGATATATCTCAAGCACCCTTGTGCTCCCGTTTAGACCGTGTTATCTATTTTCCTTTTATTTTATTTAGTTTTATTTCATGTTTTAGTTTTTCTCTATAAACTCAAGATGTTTATTGGAAGGGAGATGTTAATGCATATATGGTATTCCTAGATATATTAAATTGATTTTTTAGATATATTTGGGAATAGCTATAGTTAGGTTTCTTATATAATATTTTTTTCTTATAGTTAGATTTCTAATAAGATACTCTTTCTCAGCCTATATGTACAAGTCTTCTATTGTTAGGAAAAATTCATTGAAGACAACATATTATTTCCTTTCTCTACTATTGTAACAAAAAGCAACTCTCAAAACCAGGAAAAAAAAATCATACTAAAGAAACTGCAACAAATACAGAAAAGTTCTAGCCAAATGGGTCGTATCATTTCAATCTGGCTCAATTAAAATTAATTGGATAAATTACACATTTTACCCTCAAATTTTCAATTTAAATTTAAATTTAATTTGATCTCTTATCTTATTTATAACATTTCAAAATGTGTTTTAATGTTGTTCTTCCATTACTTATCGTTAAAAATCTGATATAAAGTACTAATGTGAGAGGTACTTAAACACAGTTTAGAAGTTCAAAAATTGTATGACAAATTACACTTTTCACTATCTAATTATTATTTGAATTTTATTTTGATCTCTCATATTTTAACTTTTACTCAAATTTCAAACAACGTAGTAAAGGGAATAACCATATGAAATACTAGGTTAAAATTTGAAACTACTTAATTATTACAATTTAAAGATGAGTGCCAAAATAAAATTTTAGTAAAGTTTGAAGGTGATACCCAACTAGAGTGGTGAAATGAACAAAGATATTTGAACTTGACTCATGTTTGACTTATTAAAAACTAGTTTAAGATATGTAAATAAATCAAGTATAAACACAATTTTAAACTTGTTAAAATTTTAAACTAATATTGAACAACATATTACTCTAGCTCGATAAGCTTATTTGTATTAAAAGTTAAGCTATTTTAGTTCAACTCATTGAAAATTCATTCGAGATTGACTCGTTATATAAATAAATTAAAATTAAACATAATTTTAAGCTCGCTTAGTTATCAAAATAAATTTGAACAATCTACTATGTGACTCGGCTCGGTTGGTTTTCAGCTATATACTAGCTAGTTTTCAACAAAATTTAATTTTATAACTTAAAAAATGGAAATACTAATAAAAATTCTAAATAATATAGTATATTATGAATAGTGATTTATAATTAATGAAAGTCAAAATATATAAAATAAAAAAAAGGGGTTGAAATTGGATACGAAATCTAATATTTTGATTCAAAAAAAAATTAAATGATATATAGTAAATATAAATGGGGCGGAGGTGGGCTAGAGTGGGTGTTTGGAAAGTTGTTATTTTAATGGATTTTTTTAATTTATGGTTATTTGAGGAGGTTAAAATTTTTGTGTTTGGAAAGATAGTTTGATTTTTTTATAGTTGGATGTGATGCTTATGAAAGAAAAAGTGAAATGATTATAGATTTGATGTGACATTTTATCTAAATTTATTTTTTTAATTTTTTAATCAATTTTGTCTTTTAGTGTTTTTTTAGCAAAAAAAAAAAAAAAAAAAAAAAACTTCCCAAACACCATCAGAATGAAGCAGGGAAAACAAAACTTGTCCCCTCCCAACTTTCTCCTCAATGAGACGAAAAAAATCTGTACGAGATAAAACAGGGGATGCAGGATTGAAGCGGGATAGGAAAAAATGATCCGTTTGGAAAGTGAATTGGTTTTTTTGCTTTTTGACTTTTTTGGCTATTTTAGCCTTGGCTAAAAAACTTGATTTGGGAAGGGCTTTTTGACTTTTTTTGTGAGAGAAGAATGTAATGATTATGGATTGGATGTGATGTTTTGTTTGTTGTGACTAAAATAGCTTATTTTGTCTTTTTGTGGCTAAAATAACCACAAACCAACTTGCCAAACAGAGGCAAAAGTTCTCAAATAAATCATCTCTTTTTTTCAAATATGTTTGACTTTTTTTTTTTTAAATTATGTCATTTTTTTTTAAAATTTTTCTGATCCATCTTTGATAGAGGAATCTTTTTTTTTTTTTGAAAAACCAAAATAAACAATATATATATATTCTTTTTGACTTATCTTTGTTTTTTATGAACTTTAAAAAAAAAATTTATTTTTCAATTCGTTTTGTCTAGTCAAAAACACAAAAATAAACTAGGGAAAAAAAAGGAAAAATTATTTATAAGTCCTATTAAGGAGACTTATGCTATGTTAAGTCCTATAAAATTTCTTATTGAGTTTGAAGTCCTATTTAAATTAGAAAGTATTCCATTAAGTCTTATCTATTGTGTTTTAATAGAATTAGTTTACTATTATACCCTTGATATACGTTGCAATGTTTTAACCGTTTTGTTTCCATATTGTTTGGTGCTGTGATATGCGCCATCATCGCAGACTCTGTTAGGTTTTCAAAATTGTATTAGGTTGGATGGTTTGGTTGTTTCTTCTTGCTGCTTTGGAGTCAGATTGTTTGAGGGAATGAGATCAAGTTGTCTACTTATTCAATTGGTGAGTGTTGCTCTGTTTTTTTTCCGAATGTTTTGTTTTCAATCTCCTCATATATTGTATGGATTTCGCAATCTGTCATAGCAATCCATTGGCAGACTTTGTTATGGTAATCTTGCATCAACTTCCGTGGTAATGATATTGTGTAATAATGTTCACATACATGTCACATTACGTTTCGTAATAGTATTTTACGATAGCTTATTAGATTAGAAATTGAGAATGTGAGAATGTTGCTGGGTTTTGCGAAATGGTACAACCGTACATCGGCGCAGTTCTGTAGACTTGAAGGCTGTTACGTGGTAATGGTCTGTGTTACATTCGTTTGTATTTAGTTTGTGTTTTGCAGTTGTGCTACTTTTTCAAAACATATGTGTCACGTTACGAATCGCAAAATTATTGGGCTTCATTTTTTTCCTTCTCAATGTCATATTTTCTTGTCTGTGGATACTATTGGAATGCATGTGAATGTAGCTCACATACACATGGAGAAGTACTTGGTTTTTGTATTGTGTTTCTTGATTCTTGTATTTACTGTGGACATATGTGTCACATTTCGTTTCGCAAAGTCTTTGGTTTCTATTTTTTACAATTGAAAGTGACAATTGTATCGGTTGATGGAATTTATTGGAATGTATATTAATGTTAATCTAACTTCTCTTTTATGTTATTTAATTTGGGTTGTCATTGTTCAGATATAAAATTGAATGTGATTGATTGTGATTGAATGTGGGTTAATGTTTCATTCATTTTGTTGTGCCGGGATATGGGCATCATGCTTTTTTGCACATTCGGTTCATCCACGGTTGCTGTCAGGGGTGTTAATGGATTGACATTAAAACGATTGATACAAAATTTATGTGATAGGTGGGTGGATGTGACACCATCATCGATTTCAATATCTTACAAATTACCGTGTCACGAGAATCAAGTGATGATGTATAATGATGTGGACATGGAAAACATGTTTTCCATTGCAAGGTCCATTGGCGTTACCCATATCAACGTTGCGATTGACTCGTAAAATGAGGTGGATGATTTGAATCAAGGTACTCAATTCAGTGGGACTATGTCTGCAAATCAACTGGATCCTCACAGTGAACCATTTACAGGTCCCCAACCTAGCGTAGATTTGTTGCCCAATTATTGTCACCATAGTGAGAAAATGTTGATGACAGTTGATTGGTCACACGACATTAGTCATGTAGGCCAATGTTTCGAAGAGGGTGTTGCTACTTTCCGTTTGGTTTTGTCCAAATATGCTATTGAGTGTGGGTTTGACTTCAAATTTGTTAAAAATGATTCAGTGTGGGTTACGGCAGTGTGCACGTTGCAAGAGCAAAAAGGGTGTTCATGGTTGATACATGGAAGGGTTCAAACATGCAATGGTTATTTTTACTTGAAAAGGTTTAACAACTTGCATAGTTGTGGTGCTGTTGTTCGCACTGAGAAGAATAACAGACTTAACTCTGAATTGGTTTGCAATGTTATTGGTGATCAGTTATGTGATAAGCCGCTTACACGTCCCACTGATGTCGTGTTTGACCTAAAAAATGAGTACGACCTTAATGTTAGTCACCACGTAGCATGGTTAGGTGTGGAGAAGGCAAGAGGCGAAGTGTATGGTGACTATTATGCTTCATTTGATCAACTTAGGTGGTACGAGGATGCGGTTATGCATTACAACCCTGGAAGTTATCTCAACTTGGATTTTGAGCAGTCTACCGGCCGATTTAAGCGATTCTTCATTTCATTCAAAGCTTGCATTGACGGATTCAACCATATCTGCCCATTATTGTTTCTTGACGACACTTTTTTAAAAGGGAGATTTAAAGGCAATTTGCTTATAGCGACAGGGAAGGATGGCAACAAAGGTATGTCTCTTACGATGATTACTTCATACTTCCATATAGTAACGCATTACATTGTGGCTAACCTTTTTTTTTAAGTCCACTACAGTAGTGGGTGATCCCCAATTGCAAGATTGTTTCCAATTTAATGTTATTTTACTAACATTAAATTGTGTGGTACGATTCGAATTGTGAACAATTGTTAATGTGGACGTAAACTTTGTTAAAAATATTTCATCTAACGATAAACCTATTGAATCTGCCAGGTTTATTCCCATTAGCTTTTGCTATTGTTGACTCGGAAACAACTGCAAATTGGACTTGGTTTTTACAGCAATTGACAAAGGTTGTTAATAGTGCTCGCACATTAACTTTCGTATCCGACCATAATATTGGGCTGCTTGAATCCTTGCCTGCTGTATTCCCATCTGCACACCATGCGTACTGCTTACAACATCTCCAAGCAAATTTGAGGGACAAATTAAGATGGGTTGACAACCGTGTACGTTTTGGTTTAATGGCCAAGTTGTGTGAATGTGCGTATGCTCCAACCGAGGCTTCGTTTCAGCAGCATTGGACGAAGCTAAAAGGGACAGGACGATCTGGAATAAATAATTTCTTGGAAGATATGCCACCGAAGCGTTGGGCCAACGCATATTTCAGGTTCGTACGAGACTTACACGTGCTAACATTGCAAGTACCCAATATGTGATAGCATTTTCATTATGTTTTCATAATGTGAACAAGGGCAAACGGTATGGGGAGATGACCTCGAACGCTGCAGAATCGTTTAATAAATGGATACTTGATGCCCATAATTATCCAATCACAAGGTTGGTTGATATAATCAGAAATCAAATAATGACTATGAGGGCTAAGCGTAAAGTTTTGGCTACTAATTGGAATGGGTTACTTTGTCCGAAAATGAAAAGCCGTGTTAGGAAGACGTACTCCAATGGTTGCACATAGATTGTTAGCCAGTCAAATGAAGACATATATGAGGTCCATTCATTTCCAACGGTGTTGGTAGACGTTGGCAAGCGTTCATGTTCTTGCTTCCAGTGGCAATTGAACGGATTCCCATGTGCACATGCGGTGGTTGCAATACAGAGCAATGGAAGGGGTTTCAGTACATTTGTTGAACAATTTTTCACTGTCGATCAGTATAAAGCCGCTTATTCTGGATGCATTCAGACAATACCAACAGTTGACAAACCCTCTTTCTCAGAAGACGACTTCATCATATATCCACCGGCAGTTAAACGTCCTCTAGGGCGACCCAAGAAGAATCCAATACCATCTCGGGGAGAGAAACTAAGTCAGATTAGGTGCGGTCGATGTGGCCGCATAGGCAGCCACAACCGAAAGACATGTAAAGAACCAATTTAGTAATAGGCATTTAGCAGGAACTTTTGTAATCTGTTTTGAACAGCAGCATCGTATTATCGTAGTAGCATGTATCGAAGCCAATTGATGATAGATTTTAATAAGTGAAGACACTGTTTACAATTGATCATTCAGCTATTTTTTCTTTCACACTGTCTCATTCATATGTTGGTGTTACATGTTTATTTATTTGGTCATGCAAACGTATGTTTCAGACCTGCAAAATACGTTAGACAAAATGTGTTGCACACTGGCCTTTGTATGTGAGAAGACATTTATTTTGTAACATAGGTGGTGGTGTTATTGTCTCCGTCTGACAGGTTCTCGTGCAACCAGTTAGTCAATGTTAAATTACAGCAAATTCTTGACATATTAAATTGTCAAAGCCAAATTCTTGACATATTAAATTGTCAAAGCCAACCAAGATTCCTTTTCACCTTCTCATTCACATTCACCTATACGTTCACATTCACATACAGTTACCCATTCACAATCACATTAAATTTGGCAATATGATTTACACAAACACATTCACATTTCTATTTTCCCACTCAGTAAGAAAAGTGCACAAAACTGTTACACATTCGGTAGCACAATCTTGCTATTAAATATAGATAACCAAACCTGTTCTAACAAACACAATCACATCGAATTTCACATTCACTATCACATAAACATGACAATTCACATTCACACAACCACATTCACATATGTATGTCACATTCGCAAAAGAGTGCAAAACACTGTCATAGATTCACATTTGCATTTTGGGTGTTACAGGTATAAAACCAAACTTGTTATATCATTCACAATCACATCTAATTTCACATTCACCATCACATAAACATAACCCTTCACATTCACATAACCACATTCACATTTATATTTCACATTTGCAAAAAAGGGCAAAACACTGTCATACATTCACATTTGCTTTTTGGGTGTTACAGGTATACAACCAGACCTGTTCTATCATTCACATTCGCATTCCCTGTCACAATCACCATCACATTTACATACAACTTCACACTCACTCAACCAGTTTCACATTTGCAATTTCACACTCCCTAATACAAGTACCAAACACTGCCATACATTCACAAACACAATCTGTGTATTAGAAATGAACAACCCACATCGTTTCATGGCATTACCATTCAGATTAACCTCACATTATGAGTCACATTACCAATTACATTCACATTTACGCAATCACATTCACACTTATGTAGCCGACATTCCTACCACCCTTAAATTCCTATTGACATTACTGAATGACACATAAAGCCATATTAACAAAATAAAGTACATACCAAAAAAAAACAATTAACCATTGTTGCCTATTCCCACAACAAAATACACTAATCAATAATCCATATTGACAATGCAACCAAAAATATCAAAAACTTCCAATTTTTCCTGTATCAGCAAACTTTTTATACCATTCCAAAACAAATACAGTGTGATTATATACCCACCCATATACCACCATCAGAAGATAGTCAATTGCCAGCCACAAATGACCTTCTCCTGTCATTCACAAATGACTTCACCATACTATAATTCCACAATCATTTCTATTACGAAAATTTAAGTCATTAGTAACAATGTCAAAACAGACCACGTGCAATATATGGAAACATAAATGACATACGTTGCAAAGAAACGTAACAAACTTACGAGTCTGGTTTTTGTTGTGGACAATAATCAACCACTAGAAGCTCCTTCACCAAGTCTTGTGTTTCAACTATGCCCACCTTCAGTCTGCGATTTATGTAATCCTCAAAGTAGGATTTTTATATTATTGTCAAATTTATATTACAATAATTAGTATTGTTGTCCAAAATAAAATACAAATATTACTGCAAGAAAGTAATTGATGTTTACTAACCAGCAACGACGCTTCCCAGCAATGTTTGTTTTCTCTCCCACGTCTTGGTTTCATAGAGTTGTAATGCAACCAAAACCCCTCCTCAGTGTCATAAACCATTAGTGTCCAATGGTTATCTAAGTGGATTGGGAATTGAATATATCTGGCCTTCAAGGCATGCGGGGGCACGCAATGCCAAGTACCTGTCACGTACATCTTCGACCACATCTCTTATCGTAGGCTGCAGACATTCATTTTGGAAATTTAAAATGACAAACTAAAAATGACAATATTCATTTCATCAGTTGCATGCCTTACCAAACATAATGTGCTGAAAATGTATGATATTTCGTCATCCTCAAATTTAGGTGCCTTCATCTGCTGCTCGTACATCAGCATTTTCGCGTAGGCATCAATCACCTACGTGAAAAAGAAAACAATTTTTATTTTCCTTCCCTTGTATACATGTACGTAAATTGCATTCTATGTGAAGAAGCTTCAGAAGTTTGACGAATAATTAGAAATACCATACTTACATTGCCTCGTAATGTCAGCCCCTTGACGATCGCCCGTATGTCATTGAAAGACACAGAGTTGGACACATGCGGTCCAGTCCAGACTTGCGCACTACAATACATTTTTTGAACAATAAATTCATGTACAAATGCATAATGGTAAGAGCAAGTTGCATAACCTACCTGTCACCACCTTTCTCATATGCTTCTTTAAGCTTGTCTTTCTCTTGCGTTGATAACAACTTCCAGATTGGTAAACGATTAGTCAAGTCGAACAGAGAAAATGTCCTATCTAGGTTTGCAATGTTGTCAACCTCAATGATCTCATCTTCCATTTCTTGTTTACTGTCACACTCACCCCCATTGGCCACACCACTATCAGATGGTTTCATCTGCGTTCTCAAAACCAGTAGATATTCAAACTCTGGCAGTTTATGCTCCTTCCTATTTTTCTTTTTAATGTTTCTTACAAGCAAGTTCTGCAACGCATTTGTTCCAATGTTTTGATTAATACCAGCCATTAAATCCACATCACATGCCATTTGCCCAATGTCGTTGATCGGGGTCACATGAGTATCCACCCCTTGTAACTCTGTTTTCTCATTGGCATAATGGCAAGTACGTTTGCCTCACAGTGGTATATTTCCTCATTACTTTGCTTCATCTCCTGTACACCAGCAGCTGCTTGGGTGTATTCATGGACTGCATATTCCTCCAACTGTTCCACGAGCTTTGCATTTTTGTCATTAAGTTCATCCACTAGTTACTTCATCCTTTTAATGTCACATTCCTTCTGCTTATTGTTCACTGTGATTTCATGTTCTAACTTGCCACATTTTTCTTCGTACGCTGCCTTCATTGTTGCCAGTTCTGTCTATAATGCTAATATGACATCAGATTTACATTGGAGTTCTATCTCAAGTATACTAATTTTAACCAGTGCTCTCTGGTATTCTTCAGACGTAGACGTACACTGAGCACACTGATCATTACTCTCAGCACCAACCCCACTGCGATTTGAACATTCGGCCTTTGCTCCAATTTGTTAAACGACTTTCGTCTTCGTGAAGCGCCGTTTAGAATGACTGATGTGCAGATCTCCTACCACAACCTGCAAACAATTTAAAAATAAAAAATCAAAAATAGTAAATTGGGACATCTAATATTTACTCTAATGGTACAGAAAATCATACCTCAACATCATTTGGCTGCTCAATATCCACTGCTCTTATCTTTGCGACCAACTTGCTGATATTCCATTTCATAAACCTCGGAAATCCATCTCCACGATCTGCTTGTATCAAGTTGGTGTGCTCACATATCCAAAACTGTGTGACCATGGGTTAAAAACATTAGCTATAAAAGTTTTTCAAACCAAATACATGTGCCAAAGCTACCAAAAAAAATCAAAATTATATTATAGAAAAAACAAAAAAACAGAGCACTTACAAGTAGGGCAGTAACACATCCAGTGACTTTCTCAGGCTTAGAGTAAAATTCCTTAATTGACTCCATCAAAGTTGTGCAGATTGCTCCAGCTCAATCATATACCTTTATGTTCTCTAGATCCTCTACAACCCGGACAAACCCCCATCCCACGGTCTCGCCTGAAGTAGCAAAGAATAACTTCCCACACAAGTACAAACACAATAACTTTGCTACGTCCTGGTGATCCTGAGTAGTGTTCCCGAGTAATGCATCCATTAACAGTTCCTTAATGGTCTTCAAGTTTATGCGTGTGTAGACACCCCATTTTTGACCGACCTTAAGACTCAGACGTCACCAATTGAGTGCTTGGTGTTGTTGCATAATGTGCTCGTTCAGAAGTTTTAGAGTCTTGGCCGTGAGCCCTGCCTCCGGACTTCCGAACCCTCTTCTGTGCCTTGCCTCGGTTTGCGAACCAGACTCGATTTTCTCTGTTTCTTTTCCTGAGGGGAGGGAGAGGTCCCGTGGACCATCTCTCAGTGGCCGTGGGCTACATTTTGTGGCTGTAGGCCATTTTGCCCGTTTCGGAGCCCGGTTCCCGATTTTCGGAGCCGTCAGGTCGTGTGTCTCGGTTCGGGACCGCTTAACCACCTCCGTTTGCTCCGGTTTTTGGCATACATATTATTTGCTCCCTTTTGAGGGACACTGTGGTCCGAGAGACCAACTTCGTGGTCGGACACCACTTCCGGTGCCTAACAGCCCACTTTCGGGGCCCCGAACTGCGTGTTTTGGCTCCCGAACCTTCATTCTACATTTTTGGGCTCCGACCCAAACTTGAAATAGTCATATTTTGAGGTCCTTTTCATGTTTGATTAAGGACCTTTTGCTGTTTGATATCTCCTCCTGTCACTTGCTTCTTTAACGCTCTTTTAGGCCTATTTTTGCGCGGTATTTTAGGCTTACTTGTGAGCTATTTCGGACATGGTCATAAACTACAAAGTATCTTATTTTGAGCCCCTCTTCAACTTTGTTGAAGGGCTCTCGGTCATTTGGGTCCAGCAGCTATCACTTGCCATTATATCCCACTTTTTGGCTTTTTTTGGAGGGAAACTTGGATTGTTTTCCCTCCATTTTTTCCCTCCATTTTCCCCCCCATTTTTGCCTATATATCAGCAGCTCCAGCTGCTGGTTTAGGGTTAACAAAATTCCTCCCCTATGCCTTTGCCTTAGCTCTCTCTTCCTCTCATTTCCAACCTTCAAAATCCTTAAGTTCCTACACCCATTTCTTCACCACCACCAAGCACCACCACCACTACTCTATTCCAGCAGATAGGAGTGGCTTTCCAGCAGCTAAGAGGCAACATTTTTCAGTCCTAGAGGTTGCTAAAGACTAGTCTTCAAGGGTGAGTCTCGTTTTTCCCTTTTTTGCTCTTTTCTTGGTCTATATCTTAGCCCTTCTTGCTTATACATTTGAGCTCCGACCAAAACTGAAAGTGGCCATATTTTGAGCTTATTTTCATCTTTCATTAAGGGTCTTACCCTATTTGGGACCTCCTTGTTGCACTTGCTTCATTACCCTCTTGTATGCCATCTTTCTTGCATGATATTTTTGGCTTGTGTGTGATCTGTTTTGAGGCATGTTATAAACTGTAAGTGTGCTTATTTTGAGCCCTTCTTCAACATTGTTGAAGGGCTCATCACCATTTGATATTTCCATATGCCACTTGCCATTGTAGCCCTCTTTCCCCCTTTTTTTTGCATGATTTATTAGCCTATGGTGCTTTTGTTTTTGGACCTTGATTCGAACTGAAAGTGGTATTATTTTGACCCCCTTGTCATGTTTCATTAAGAATATTTTTCTGTTTGGGGCATATTTTGTATACTTAGTGTTGTAACCTCTTTTGGGCCTTATCTTGCATAGCTTTTTGAGCATACTTGTGTCTGTTTTTAGGGTTTTTACAGTTCTGTAAAGTGGCTTATTTTGGGCCCCTCTTCAATCTTGTTGAAGGGCCCTAACCTATTTGGAGTCCGCAGCTATGAGTTGCTTCATAATCTCATGTTTAGGGCCATTTTTGCATGCCATTGTTGCCCTATC